AGTAAACAAAGGTGATAAGTTCTCTCGAGATCAATGTCCTAAATCTGAGCATGAGATTGAATCGATGAAGATGAGGCCATATGCTTCATTGGTTGGAAGTCTTATGTATGCAAACATATGTACTAGGCCTGACTTGGCATTCATAGTTGGTTTGCTAGGCAGATTTCAATCAAATCCAGGTGAATCTCATTGGATAACTGCAAAGAAAATTTTGAGGTATTTGCAGAGAACGAAAGAATTCATGCTGATGTATGGTAGAGAGGATTGTCTAGAGATCATTGGCTATACTGATTCAGATCTTGCTGGAGATTTGGATGAAAGGAAGTCAACTGGAGGTTATATTTTCATGATGAAAGGGGGTGCTATTTCATGGAAAAGTGCCAAACAGACAATTGTGTCAACTTCTACAATGGAAGCTGAGTTCGTAACATGTTTTAAGGGAATGAAACAAGCAGTTTGGCTTAGAAATTTTGTTGCTGAAATGAGGATTGTTGATTCTGTGAAGAGGCCTTTAAGAATGTTTTGTGACAATTCTGCAGCAGTGTTTTTCTCAAAGAATAACAAAAGAACGTCAGCTTCAAGATTGATGGATGTGAAGTTTCTTAAAGTTAGAGAAATGGTAAAGAAGGGGGAAATCGAAATTCAGTTTTTGTCAACCAACTTGATGATTGCAGATCCCTTGTCTAAAGCACTCCCTAATAATGTTTTTAAGGGACATGTTATTCGAATGGGGGTGTTAGAGTCTTTTGACAAGTGGGAGTGAATCATAAAGGTTGCTGTTTGATATTTCATTGCTCTACATAGATGTTGAAGTTGCGGTTCTGCAAGCTGAGTTAGTTTTATTTTGATTGAGTTTAATCTCCTCAGGTAGTTTATTGTTGGCTATTTTCAATAAAGGGTTTTCAGTTTTTCCATATGGGATTAACTTGTACTAGAAAACAAATTTTATATATGAGATAGTTTGGTTTGCTAGAAAATCATTTTGTGATTTTGTTGAAGCATACTTTCGGGACTATTGATTATACTGTTGGTATTGATAAATTTTAGTTATCAAATGTGATCATGGCTTTATTGTGTCAAGATTGGGTTATATGAGTGGGAGTAATGTGTTTTCACATTACTGCACATTTTAGTTCACATGTTTACAAATTGCAGATTAGGTATGTTGTGATTGCTGGGCTAATTCTGTAATGGACAGAAGAAACTCATCAGTTCCATGCTTTAAAATGCTTAGGTAAGGTTGTATGTGATAATGAGCTTTCGGTTAACTTGGACTTGGTGATCACTTCCATGATTTATAAGGCTGTTAGTCATATTTCATACTCAAGTGGGAGAATGTAAGAGTATGAGTATGAGACAAACATTTAGAGCCGGATTGTATAAATCTTTGTTTGGAAAAGTCATGTTAATGAGCCTTTTGATAAATCCTATTTGTTATAGAATTATGAGAGAGTATGGTATACCAATTCTATGTGGGATATGACTCAGTATCAGGAGTCTAATTAATTCATATTGTGATATGGTTTAGCTGTTTGAGTTCCATAAGAATTCTAATAGGAGAATACTTGGAACACTGCTATATATATGTTTAGTCACTGATCTTACAAGAATTAACTCATCTTGTTCCGAATACCTATTGTTCGGTGAGTACTTGCGTTTTGTTAAAGAGGAGAAGATTAAACCTATTCGAAGAGTTGCAATGGCGTCGTCTTCAATCTCGGGTTCTGCAGGTCAGTTGCTATGCAAGTTTCAGTATTTTCTCATAAGCATGTTTGGTCTAGATATATATCTTGTTATTAGTTTCTGATAATTCAATTGGTTAACTTGTGATTGGTGGTATTAGGACATACATATGTTTATATTTGTCTTACATCAATCAGATTCCAAGGAAGTTGTCTCCAGTTTATGTAATTCTATTTATCAGGGCAGATGGCAGACGGTTCCTGTGCTCAGCTAAGCATTAACGATGAGAGGATCCTTCCAACAGTGCAAATGGTCTTGGATTCCTAGATCCGCTAATTTGGTGGCTGATAGACTTGCGTCTGAAGAATTCAGAGATGAGCAACTATACTTGGGTCGACAGACCCCCATCTTCGATTGTACATATTTTGAACAATGATGATTTACCTTGCCGACATTAAGTCGAGTCTTTGATGGAGGGAGTTAGGGCGACATAAAGCTGTTGTTTGTGTCGTTCTTTGGCCTTGTTTCACTCCAATCTTGGTTCTCTTTTTTGGTTTGTAACTTTGTTAGTCCTAGTTGTGGGCTTTCCTTTTGTTCTTTGGCTTTGCCCTGGTGCAGTTTCGATTTACCCAAAAAAAAAAAAGTTAAATAATGCTCAGTCCGAGCTTGGGCTGTTTCAATAAAAAATGGCGGTAGTGCCTCTATTCGTCAAGGCGACGAAGCTCATCGGACTACTAGTGACGCTCACAGTCGCCATCAATGCCTACTGTTAAGGAAAAAAATGAGGCTCGGCTCTGTTATATTACAGGTGGAGTTTAAGTGAAGAACAAACTCTTCAAAATGAACCAAGATAATTTAACAGATAATACAATCATTTTAAACTAAAACAAACTAATCAAATTCAAACACATTCAACAGCCAAAGGATTGGACTGTTGAGAACTTTCAGTCGAGCCTCCAACTTGACCATCGCATCTGACCTTGACAGTTGGTTCTGGCGGGAGATTGCAATTTCAAATTTGGTTTCTCAGTAACTATGATGCATGGACACGGACACGGATACGGGGATACGACACGATACGACACGGGGATACGTCAAATTTCAAAAAACGAGGATATGATACGTCAAGGATACGGCAATTAAAAATATGTATAAATAAATAAATAAATAAATAAAAATATATCTAAAACATTATAAAATAAGCATTCAAATTTATTATTCAATAAACTCTAAACTGTTAGAAAGATAGTCCATCCAACAAGCAATTAGTCTTAAAACTTGAAAAAGTAAAAAGAACGTCCAAATGAAATTAACAAAAAAAAAAAAGTCTCATTCAACTTCCACGTTCATGATGTCTCCTCCAGTAATCAAAGTAGTCTCCAATGACGGTTCATCAAGTGAAAGGTTAGCAATATCAAGCATCCCGACACTTTCTTCACCCAAGTTTTCAAAGCCATCTCCTCCAACACATCCCACAATTGACTAATACCTTCTTTGTAGGTTGCGCTATTTCCTTGATAAAAGACGAAGATTATTATGCACAAATACCAAATCCTCGGCTCTTTGTGGTGTAATCTTGTTCTTCTTCTTAGAGAGTGAATAAAACTGTAAGTGCTCCAATTTCTTTCACAACAAGAGGAGGAACAAGGTTGTCCAAGTAGCTTCAACGCTATGGATTGGAGACTAGGTGTAGAAGCTCCAAGGACAATCCACCACATTACTGGTTCCAAATGAAACCTATCATTCATAGAATCAATAGCTCCAAAGTCATTCAAGCACATAGAGAAAGAGGCATACTCCACATTGATACTTCTTCTAATTTCCTCATTGGAAAAGTATCTCTCAAAACACTTTTTCCTTTCAGTTGTAAGCTCAACATCTCGGTGTGGAGCAACCCGACTAGGGTCTTCTTGGAGCCATTATGAACTATAATACCTAAAATAAAAGAAATAGCACTTTAAAAATATAATCATAAAGCTAAAGATTAATTTTGGAAGAGTTTATAAGGATATTAGCAAAATCATTACCTTGGATTTAATGAATGCGCCAAACAATGAAGTGGTGTGCTACTTTTAGTCCATCGCTCTAATAAAATGCGATACACCGCATCAAAAAAGCTGCTTTTTTCATGTAATGCCTTGCGCTCATTCCTGTAGATAGCAGCTTTCACCTTTTCAATCATAGCATCCCACCACTTATACACCAAATGAAGACAAGGTTTATCTGTGTCAGCCATTCTAATAACCTCATATATTGGAGCTATAAAGAAAAGAATATAATCAATCTTCTCCCAAAAGTACTCATCCAATATTTTTTGCTTTCACCGTCATTGCTTTAAACCAAATCATCTTCTTTTGTACAAAGCCCAATTCGGGCTAATCACCATTTGTTGTAAACCTTCCTTTACTTCCTTAAATCTTCTAAGCATCACAAGTGTGGAAGCAAATCTGAAAAATTTAATAATTAGGATAGCTCATAATTGAATAAGAAAAAAAAAGGAAAAAAAGTGGAGAAAACAAACCTTGTTTCGGCAATGGAGAGCAACTTTAGTTTGCAATGTTCATTAAACATAGACAATCTCATGCTATGGTTCATAATAAAAAATTTTATGGACCAAACATCACTTGCAATAGTTGAAATCCAATTGCAGTCATCATCATACGAAACATCTGTTTGTTTCGGAGAGCATATACTCTTCAAAGCAAGATTAAGAGTATGAACAACACACAGGGTGTCCAAAAGATATGGGGATAGTGGGCCTCAATAAGTAACCCAGCAGCTCTACAGACAGGAGCATTGTCAGTGATCACTTGAACAACATTTTCATGACCAATTTCTTTAATAGCTTCTGTAAGGAAGTTGGCAATACAATACTTGTCTTTATATTCACCTTCACAATTAATTGCCCTCAAGAACATAGGCCCACTTTCACAAGTTGCCATAATATTAATAAGTGGTCTCCTTTGTGCATCTGTCCACCCATCACTGCACAAACTTACACCTTTAGTGCTCCTTGTGCGCTTGATTGGCTGGAGGCATTGCTCAATGTGACTCTTCTCTTGTTGCAGAAGAGTGGTTCTTAGTGCATTGTAACCTGGTGGAACATACCCTGGAAGTGTAGAAGCTCGAACATCTGAGTTTCGATAATGCGGATTTCTTGCAAGGTTAAATGATAAGCCACCTGTATAAAACATCCTTGCGACTTCAGCATCACATTGATCTCGAGCTTCCTTGTTAAAAGCTTTACTAAGAGGCCCACTTATTCCTTTTCTCTTCTTTGGATCAAGCTTCACTTCAGGTTGATCATAACAAAAAGAACCAGTGTTGGGCAAAGAAACATTCTTAGGAGCAGAACTCTTCAGCTTATATTCACACCCCCGAATTAACTTTTTCATTTCTGCAAGATTTTCATCAGTAACCTTGCTGCAAGGTGCGACCCCGTTTCCACCCATTTTTAACAAATGAAACCTGACCCTAGAGTATGATCCTTTGTAAGTTTTCTGACAATAATTGCATTTGAATTCAGCATTCCCTCCTCCTTTTTTTCCCACTTTTTCGAGCTTTTTGACATACTTCCACAACGGAGTATGATCATTTTCAACAATCTCATCCAGATTAGCATTATCATCCGGATTAGCAATATCATTTGCATGATTATTAGGGTGATTCATTTTCCTAAATCAACAAACATATAAAAAGTAAGAGTTAATCCACTGTAAAGACAAAGTTATTATAATCTAAATATCCATACCACTACACAATAATATACTATAATATGCAAAATACAATAATATTATAATAACATAAAAAGTTAAAAACAGAAAAGCCAAAGTTGTCAGATTTGAATGGACTATGCGGGTAGTGGAATGGATGGGTAGTGGGTACTATAATATTATATTCTTTTCCTAGGGGAATCAGATTGTCTTCCATTGGGTTTTAATATTATTGTCTTCGAATGGGTAGAATCAGTAAAGCTGAGAGACTGGTGAAAAAACAACTAAAGCTTACCGGTTACGACTCACCAGGAGTTGCAGACAGACGAAGGAGACGACGGAGCAGTTGTAGACGAAGAAGAGGGAGACGACGGCGCAGTTGCAGATGGAGACGACGGGTCACGGAACAGTTGCAGATGACGGTCAATGGGGATTCGTGAAAGTCTCCCAAGCAGAGTGATTTCTGAGAGGTAAATCCGAATTTTATTTTTTTTCTGATTATCCTTTGATTTTAGAGTGATTTCAGTTAACTAAGTTCGATCAATCACGATTCTATGCGGATTTTTTGTGATTTTTTTTCTGATTATCCTTCTATTTCAGTTTCAAATGTATCCGAAAAGTAGGATACACGTATCTGGACAATACGATACGCGTATCTCATCAGTCCCAAACGTATCCTTTCACTCCAATACGTATCGAACGCGTATCATCCGCGTATCCGTATCCTCAACGTGTCAGATACAGGATACGGTTGCTTTCTCGCATGTCCATGCATCGTAGCTCAGTAATCACATGCTATCATTTTTCCTTGTTGATATCTTTTGTATGCCTACCTATTGTGCGGGTTCTTAGCCTAGTGGTCATCCTGAAATGCTGGAGGCTGCCACTTCTGCTCTACCTACTGGTGTTTTCCAACAGGCCATGCATTGGATGGCCATTGCACACACATCATCTGCCTCATATAAGCTCTGGAAAAGAAGATCTATTTGAAGAATATAACATGTGCGATTTGCGTTTAATAATTGCTTCAGTGAACTTTGTGTTTTAACTTTTTGAGGTCCTCATCAAAACTAGTAGTTGGCGTGGCGCACCATGTCTATTTTATGCGGCCACATGGTATCTTCGATGTTACTGCTGTTTCACTGGCTAACTCCTTGACTCTCCATTCAATGAACTTTATTTATTATTTATTTTTAATCAGAATTATTATTAGCACTTCAATATATCGTCCTTCATCATATTCCTTTGGTTAATGGATCATATTTTTGTCCTTCTTCGTATTATGATACCAAGAGGCCTTGATGAACCCATATAGTAGCCCTACACTGAAAGAGATTGGCGATTTGGACACTAGGAGATGGAAGGGATCTCCAGGACCCCCTAAGTCTCTTGTCAAAATTTATTCTCCAACCTTTCTCCTCCCTCAAATGGAAACCTAACAAGGAGAAATCATATACCTGTAAGGACAAGGTAACAAGCCTGGTGCAATGAAAGAGTATCCTTTGTGATTATCCTTAGTTTTGGTTCAACGTTGTAATCTCACCAACTTTTCATAATTTGGTCATGTATAATGTTTCAAATGAAAAGTGGAGATCACTTACTACATTAGACAATATTTATAAATAAGAGTCTTTGCGGTTAGCCCAAGTACTAGAGAAATTATGAGGTCCGACAACTGAATCATGTGTCCATGTGGACCTTAGACACAAAAAAAGAAGACCACATAATCCCTACCCCAGCCCCACTTAATTTGTCATGCTAACCTTACCCCATTTTAGTCCCACATTTCCTCTCACACTGACCCCAATTCGGTTTCCCTACCCAAGAACTTCTCCGAGTAGTGAGGGAGAGTGGGATATTAGGTTGGGACCAAGAGATATTCCGGGTTTGATTCCTTACAATATAAAGAAAGAAAAAGACCTTGTGTACCTCAATGCAAGTTTCTTATGATGGGCTACTATTCTTCAGGCCTATTGTTCATATCCTTATCATCTAGATTAGATATGCTAGTATCCAATTTACGGAAGGGAAATAATATAAATACTCCTTTTAGCTTCCCATACACTTTTATTTAATTTTGTTTGTAATTTTTATCTAATTTATTCAATCTGATAACCAGAAATAGAGTTAGATGTGTGATAAGCTAAAAGACGTGTGAAAATGCCAACGAGGGTTGGTTGAGTTGGTAAGGATTGTTCTCTTCTCTAGACCAAAGTCTAGATTCAAGTCTCGCTGCTGGAAATCCTTCTTGGTGGGCGACCTAAGAAAACCAAGAAAGGGCTAACACCCCTCTATAAGTCCTCAAATAGACTTGTGGTAAGTCCTGACCTTAGGACAAGATTGAAGAAAGTTGAGGTTCCACCATAAAACCAATTGGCAATATGAGGAGTAGCCCAACATTTCTCCTCCCATCAATGTAAGATTCATTCTTAACAAACCCCCTCACGTGTGGGGAATTTTCAAGCCTAACACGTAGACAACACAACGCGATGACGTAGAGCGCGTGTCGCCATTTGGTACACATGGGACAACATACTCTGATACCATGAAGAAAGTTGAGGTTCCACTATAAAACCAATTGGCAATATGGGGAGTGACCCAACCTCTTATAAATCCATACAAGGTCCATGCTCCTATCAATGTTGGATTCACTATCAACAAAGATACTCCCCTCCAACTCCTCAAAATTTTTCTTGACAAAAAAAATTTAAAAAAATGTGCGAAAATTGCCTCTATTTACAGATGAGCTGGTCAGTTTCCTGAAGCACTCTTTTGTTTTAAATAACAAAAGTAGAGAAAAGAAAAGAGCAAAATTTTGGAAACAAAGATATGTATTTGTGGGAAAATATACTGCATGTATGGTGACGTTCACACCTACACGGGAGAGGCTCATGAGACCTTATTCTATATTATGACGCAAGCCTTAAGATCCTATACTTTCAAAATACTCCTTTATATGGCAACACAAAGTCATATTTGAACAACTTATTTTAGGTGACGTAAAATACACGTGATTCACAGTAGGAGATAGTCCTATGATGAGGATGTCTCATTTATTATAGACTCTCTTAGTATGTTTTTTTTTTTTTTTAAACAAACGGTATTATTTATATTAAAGGGTGGGGGTGGGCTAAACCTCACAATGAGGTAGCAATAATGTGGGGTAAATTTACTTTTGGCGAGAATCGAACCTAAGACCTCTCACTTACAAATGAAAAGATATATCATTAGACCGTAGTACTAAGTGGCGACTCTCCCATATGTTAGTTAAACGAATTGATAACTATTTCATTTTCAACCGTTTAAATTTTAAACTATTAGTTCTTTGTAGGTGTTAAATTTTTGTAGGTCAGGATTTATTTTTGTAAAAGGACTAGCTAAAAGTGCTTAATGGATATAGAGATATTAGTTTCCAAAATTCAGGTTCATCGTATGCTTTGTGTTTGAAAGCTTTCAAACTTTTGTGGTTATGGTCATCGATTCATTTCATCCAATTTATTGTTGATGCAGGGAAGCAAGGGATTATTTCTGAATTTGTAATTAATTAGGTTATTTATTTTATTTTCTATAATAACTTATTAGACAAGAAAATTAAGTATTTTCCTTTTGTATTTCAATTTCTTGTACAGATTCTAAGATTATTTTCTCTATTTAAGCACAATGTAATTTAGGGTTCAGGAAGACGTTTGGTATATTGTTATTGAATAATGCTCTTTGAGCGGCAAGAGTTTCTTGCGGTTTATTCCTTTCTCGTGTGTATGTTCAATGTGCCGTTCTTGATGATGTGTGTGCTTCCAAATTTATAAAGATCAATGGGATTAGTATTTGGGAGCATTGGCTCCCTTTTTTTTTAAACAATATTGGCAACTTAGACACCGATCACTAATTTTTTTTCTAGCACAATATGTCGCGTGTCAACTTCATTCTCTCCTTGCTAGAGATCATAGGCAATTCTAACGAATTTGGCATCTGCGGATGTGCACAAATTTAATTCCATCATTTGCCATATAGGAATAAACTCATCTTTTAAGGTCCATATATAGATGATGAAGTTTAGAGCGGTGGCGGAGTTAGCATGGGGTCATTGGTTGTTCTTGAACCAACAACTTTAAAAACCCTATGTATATTTGTTTGTGTATTATATTTGACCCCTATAAACAACTAAGGCAAACTAAATTATAACCTCCTTCTTCCACTTTTTTATTATCTTCTATCATATTTGTTTCCCTTTTATCTCTTCTTGTGTGTGACTCTATTGTGAGCACCATGTGCTCGATGAAATACTTTAGTTGACAAGTCTTGATAGTTTTCAACATTACTCTATTGTATCCTGCATTCACTCTTGACCAGCCTATATAAGTAATAGTAATTGTCGACATATGTTGGTATAAGTTTTCAATATATGTTGGCAAGAATTGAAAGATGCCCATTAGAGACATTATGCAAAGTGTGTGTGTGTGTATATATATATATATATATCAATTTTTTAATTACCTCGGTATATAATTATATACAAAATGTGCCATGCCTTTTACTCACTGTCAAACTGATAAAGACTAACGATGTGCATATAAGCATTGAATCTTTAGTTATTTGACTTACAGAATTGTATGTCACAATTTTTGAGTTGGTCAAGGAAAGGGTTCCTCTCCGGATCTCTTCTACTAAGGTCATCTCCAATCGAATGAGGGTTAGGCCATCTCTAACCGAAAGGTCTAGAGGGTCGAAAATAGCCCGAAAACCGTCTCTAACCGAGGGCTAGGCCAGAGTGCTCGTGGGCCCTACGGAATTTGAAAGGGCCAAAGGGCTGGCCAAAAATCAGAGCAATCATGTTGGATATAACCGACAGGAGTATATTTAATATATTTAATATAAATATATTATTGTCGGTTATAGCCGACATGATTGTTTAAAGAAAATTTTCAATCCAACGGCTGACGTCAGCTAGCAGTTATTTTTCAAATTTTTTTTTACAGTTTTATTTATTTATTTTTATTTACAAAAAATTTCCTATAACTTCTATTTTTTCTATACCTTCCTATAACTTCTATTTTACAAATTTTGTTTCATATTTTTTTTAAATTCTATTTTTTTTCCTATAACTTCTATTTTACAAAATTTGTTTCCTATTTTTTTTAAATTCCATTTTTTTTCCTATAACTTCTATTTTACAAAATTTGTTTCCTATTTTTTTAAATTCCATTTTTTCCTATGACTTCTATTTCACAAAATTTGTTTCATATTTTTTTTTAAATTCTATTTTTTTCCTATAACTTCTATTTTACAAAATTTGTTTCATATTTTTTTAATTCCATTTTTTCCTATAATTCTATTTCACAAAATTTGTTTCATATATATTTTTTAAATTCTATTTTTTTCTATAACTTCTATTTTACAAAATTTGTTTCATATTTTTTTCCTATAACTTCCTAAGTCATTATACAACATTAAATTAAATTAGGGTAAAGTGCAAAAAACTATCTCAACTATTGGTGTCACGACACTTTCATACTTCATCTTTTAAAATTGACGATGTTATACCTCATCTTTAGAATTTGGTCCAATGTTATACCTTCCGTTATTTGGCCGTTTATTTTTTAGTTAAATGCTAACGTGGATTGATCCGGATCCCACTTTTCTATTAAAAATTAATAAATATTATTAAAAACTAAAAAAAATCCTTTAATAATTTCTAAATATTAAAATAATAAAAAAAGTTATAAAAAAAAAACTTTTGTTCGTTCCCTCCCCCCCCCCTCTTCTCTCTCTTCTTCCCCATCTTCATCTTCTTCTCCCTTTCAGCCCACTTCCCACAACCAAGAAAAAAAAAGGAGGAAGAAGAAGAAGAAGAAAAAAAAAGAAAAAAAATAAAACCCGAAACCAAATCTGCAACGAAGAAAGAAGAAGAAGAAGATCCCCCATCTTCATCTTCTTCTCCCTTTCAGCCCACTTCCCACAACCCAGGAAAAAAAAAGGAGGAAGAAGAAGAAGAAGAA